GGGGTGAAAGGAGGTGAGGAAGGTGAAAGGAAGAAGAGGGTTGGCGAGGAAGAGGAGCCGGCAGCCATAGCTGACCAGAGGGTTGACCGAGAGGGTTGACCGGAGGTGTTGACCGGCGGATACCGGAGTTGACCGGGGGTTGACCGGGGGCTATAGCAGCGTTGACCGGCATTGACCAAGACGGTTGACCACGAGTTGACCAAGCTGGAGTCGGTAACATCTCGCCAAGCCCTCAGCCTATCCCTCGCCCTATGGATGTGCACACACCCCTTGGTACTTGCTGAGTCCAGTCTGTCTGTTTATTCTTTCTGCATCGAGTCTCTTCTGCCCTAGGTGATAGTACTCTGTGGATGAAGGATAGAGTCTTGTTGACCAAACCCACATGGGATGAGTAGGGCTAAAAGTTGTGTCTGACGACTCGACTGTCCCGGAGGTCCAACCCTCCCAAGGACCGGTACTGACCGGCAGGTTACTCGGTGTGGCACGGTAGGCCTCGAAATTCGAGCTGTGGGCTGCACAATAGACCGTCTAAGTCTTGAGAGACCTGCTGATCGCGTCGTCCTGTCTGCGACGTTAAATAATTCCTGAGGAGTTCGGGGGATCTCCTTAAATGCCTCCTGATCAGCAAAGGTCTAGTAGTGACAGCCATAGTTAGTTCCAGGCTAGAGACCATAGTTGACAGGATGCCTGTCAGGATTCAGCAAGTCCTTAGATTGAGTCAATAAGTTTGTCAGTCAGGGGTCAAAGTCTACGTGGTGAGGTTTGGAACCACTAAACCGGTTGTACACTTATCACCATGGTTGAGACCCGTAGTGGGGTAGACACAAGCCCTTACACCAAGGAGCAGCAAGAAAAGATGGCCGCCTTAGTGAAAGAGTGCGAGAAGCAGGCGAAGTTAAAGGCTATCGCAGAGGAGCAGGCGGCCAAGATAAAGGAATTGGAGGAGGAGATGGAGAAAAAGAAGAAGGTTGTTGAAGAAGAAGCGGCAGCAGAAGAAGAAAAAGAGAGAATGTGTATTGAGAGTAGAGAGGGAAGTAGTGGCACGAAGAGGGACACAGACGCAGAGATGGAGAAGAAAATAAGTGAGTGGGTTGCTAATTTATCGTTGGGAGAAGATGAGGAGGCAGAGTCCTATGTGACTCAGGATGAGAGGGAAGCGCTGGCCAATGAGCTAGCAGTAATGGAAGATCCGATGGAACGGCGAGAAAGGGAGGAGGAGTAGAAGTTGGCATGGAAACTAAGGATGAAGAGGGAGAAGAAGAAGAGGAGAGAGGAAGTGAACAAACTTACCGCAGAAGTGGCAAAAGAACAGGAGTGTAGGAAGGAAGTGTTGGCCTAGACAGATGACAAGGCCAAGTGGGATAAGGTCTGTCTCTTATACACATCTAGATGTGTATAAGAGACAGGTAATGGAAGATCCGATGGAACGGCGAGAAAGGGAGGAGGAGTAGAAGTTGGCATGGAAACTAAGGATGAAGAGGGAGAAGAAGAAGAGGAGAGAGGAAGTGAACAAACTTACCGCAGAAGTGGCAAAAGAACAGGAGTGTAGGAAGGAAGTGTTGGCCTAGACAGATGACAAGGCCAAGTGGGATAAGGTATTGGGCTATCTAGATGTGTTGAGCACAACATGGATGCAGGAGCCACAAGTCAGTTGGAGCCAGGAGGTAGCCTTGAGTGCCATGCGGTCAGGGTTTAGAGACTTTGCGCGCGATATCGTCACCCACGTTGGGGGCGAAGTCAGGCAATTGAGGGACAACGTAGGGAAGTTTTGTGAGGGCGCTATCGAAGGCGCCAAAGCAATAGCCGTTGTCGAAGGCGAGGCCAGGCCTCGCAAGGACCCAGTTAAGCTTAAATTCCCGGATGCTTATAGAGGGAAGAAGGAAGAGAACTTTGACAACTGGGAAGCCAGTGTCAATAGTTATATATATCTACAGCACATCCTAACTGAGGAACAAGTCCTCGTGGCCTTCTAGGCCCTCAAAGATGAGGCGGCTAGTTTCGCCAGGTCCCTTGCGCGCGCAACCGGTTGTGAGAACAACCTGGTTGCTTACTCCAAAGTCACCCCCCTTCCTCAGTTCCTTAAGCTCCTGAAGGAGCGGTTCGCGGACCCAACGAGAGGCGTTCGCGCCTCTAATAAGCTACAAACGATCCACTCACGACAGTGGAGGAGTGCAAGGGCACTCAAGGGTACAATGGACAACTTGGTAGCCGTCCCAGACCATGGGGTCACTGAGCCCCAGTTGGTTCAGTTATTTTATTGTGCCATGCCAGAGGCCCTGCGTGGGCATTTCTTTGACAAATCTCAACAGGACGACATCACTTATGATGCATTGAGTAGAGAAGTCGTCATGTATGAGTCAAGGAACATGCCAGTTACCACTTTCTGGCATAAGGACCTGGATAAGGGGAAAAGGTGGAAAGGTTGTACCATCTCAGGCCAGGTGAGGGCCAAGGATCACATGATCCTTACTTTAGAGGAAGGTGGTACTGATGAGGTCCCATACAGTCAGATTATGTGGGGCCTAGAGGAGGAGGACAGTAGTGTGGGACAGGGGAGGTCTTATGCTGTTGTCGCGGCTGGAGGGAGGCCGCAAGGTAGAGGAGGAGGCCAGGGCCAAAGGGGCCAGGCCATGGGAGGCCGAGGACCGGGCGCACAGGGGGGTGGCGGACAAGGGAACCACCAAGTGGGAGGTAGGGGTCAAGGTCCCCCGCCAAATCGCCAAGGCTCCAATCGGTCCCCACAGCGACGAGGTGGAAGGGCACCTCAAGGAGGATGGCACCGAGGCTTGCCACACGGCAGGCCCTGGGAAGACTTGGGTTTGGACCAGCACGTATGGCAGGAACGCGTGAACCTGGGTCAGTGTGTATTTTGTGGTGACCCGGCCCACGTAATTAAATTTTGTCCACAGTATAGACAGGCCCGTTGGGCTGCCCCGCAGTCAAAAGGCAGCCGCCAGTAGGGGTTGCAACTGCCTCTACTTTAAGGCCATGTGGAGAAGTGAGCGCGTGCGAACAGGACACTCCCAACCCACATGAGCCTATGGCAGAGGTTGCAGGCCCGTGCCTAGCTAGCTGTCCAGAGACCGCCGGTGTTAGCGTCCCTTTAGGCACGTCCCTCACAGGTGTGGCAGAAGAGTTAAAGGAGAGGATGCCAGCCTGGGCCAAGATGAAGAAAGAGATCAAAGGACAACTGATCTTGGTATATGCAGAAGTTTTCAGGAGCAGAGTAGGGGCCCTTATAGACTCAGGGGCCACCTGCAGTTATATTAGCCGTAGAGCGCTGAAAAAGTTGAGGCTAGGATTAAAAGTCCAGAAATTGGCAGACCCCATAGTCAGTGTCCTCGCAGACAATCGCACAATGCGTGTTGAGGACTATGTAGAGGGAGTCCAGGTGTACTTTCGCTTAGAGAAGGATGGGAAGGTGGAGAAAGTTCTTCATTCCCTGACTCTCCTCGTACAGGATGACCTTCCTTTTGATGTAGTATTAGGAATGGATTGGGGAGAGGCAGCAGGGGCCACACTCCATTTGAGGGAGCATGAGTGTAGGCTCCCTAGTCCGTCAAGCGAGGTTAAGACTGCCCGCCTGTTCCATGTGTCAAGTGTAGATAACACCTTGGCACATTGTTGTCTCAGTGCTCCCGCGTTCGCGCGTCTAGTGAAGAAGGAGCAGTTAGAGGACCAGGTCTTTGTAGTTTATGTTAGACATGTCACTGAGGCCAAGGAAAACGATAGTTCCACAGATCCAACGATTGCAAAGCTGTTGGAAGAGTTCAAAGATTTGACTGAGTCGCCGACAGGAGTAGTGCCGCGACCCATCCAGCACAGGATAGAGATAGAGCCTGGCAGTAGAACTCCTAAGGGTGCAGTTTACAGGATGTCCCCTAGAGAGTTCGAGGAGCTTCGCAAGTAGTTAGACGAACTCCTTGAGAAAGGTTGGATTAGACCCAGTTCGTCTCCTTTTGGAGCACCAGTCTTGTTTGTCCCGAAAAAGGAAGGAGAGCTTCGTATGTGTATAGACTATAGGGGTTTCAATGTGATTACTGTAAAGAATGTTGAGCCACTGCCCAGGATAGACGATCTTTTAGATTGGGTGCAGGGTTGTAAGTATTTCTCCAAGATAGACTTGAAGTCTGGTTATCATCAGATAGAGGTCCATCCTGATGACCAGTACAAGACTGTGTTCCGGGCTAGATACGGGCACTATGAGTTTATAGTGATGCCTTTTGGACTAACCAACGCGCCAGCCACTTTTCAGCGTTGTATGAATGATTTGTTCAGACCATGGTTAGATAAGTTTGTAGTAGTTTATCTAGATGATATCCTAGTTTTTAGTAAGACCCTCCAAGAGCACCAGGGTCATCTGAGGCAGGTCTTGGAGAAGCTACGAGAGGCTAGCTTCAAGATCAACGCAAAGAAGTGCGAGTGGGCCAAGACACAAGTCCTGTACTTGGGCCACGTGTTGGACGGAGATGGCATTAAGCCAGAGGACAGTAAGATAGCGGCGATTAGAGATTGGTCGACGCCCCGCACACTGACAGAGTTGCGGTCGTTCCTAGGCTTAGCTAACTACTATAGGAAGTTCGTGAGGAACTTCTCCACTATCGCCGCTCCCTTGCGCAGGTTGCTTAAGAAAGAGGCCATCTGGCAATGGGACAAAAATTGTATGTCTGCGCTAAAGAGATTGAAGCGCGCACTCATAGAGTACCCTATCCTCAAAGTAGTTGATCCGTCCTTGCCATTTGTCGTCACCACGGACGCAAGTCAGTATGGGATAGGCGCCGTGTTGCAGCACGATGACCGCAATGGCTATAGACCCGTAGAGTTCATGTCTGCTAGGATGCCCTCAGAGAAGGTAGCCACCTCGACGTACGAGAGAGAACTCTACGCTCTCAGGCAGGCTCTAGACCACTGGAAGCATTACCTGCTTGGGAGGCACTTCAAAGCGTATTCTGACCACGAGACTCTTAGATGGTTAAAGACCCAGGCCAAGATGACACCTAAGCTAACTAGGTGGGCCGCTGAGATAGACCAGTACGACTTTGAGCTCAAGCCAGTAAAGGGCAAGTACAACGTAGTTGCGGACGCTCTGAGTAGGAGATCAAACTACTTTGGAGCCATAGTACACTATCTGGATATAGGGATAGACCTGCAGGAGAAGGTGAAGCAAGCGTATGCGCAGGACCCTATCTATAGCGACCTCCTAAAGAGAGTTAGAGATGCCCCAGAGACTGAGCCAGATTACCGCACTACAGAGGCATTACTGTTTGAGAAGACTAATGTGTTTGACCGCCTGTGCGTTTCCAACAACAAAGAGATTCGTAGTTTGATCCTAGGGGAATGCCACGATATTGAGGGACATTTTGGTTGGCAAAAGACATTAGCCAATCTAATGCGTGCGTACACCTGGCCAGGGATGAAGAATGACTGCATAGAATATGTTCGCAGTTGCAAAGTGTGCCAGAGGAATAAGACTACTACGCGTGCCCCTCTAGGTCTTCTCAGACCCTTGCCTATTCCGGATCAGCCGGGAGACTCAGTGTCCATAGACTTTATGGACACCCAAGTCAAGAGTAGACATGGTAAGAGCCAAGTCATGGTCATAGTTGACCGTTTTAGTAAGTATGCAGTCTTTGTTCCTTTGCCTGCAGAGGCACGTACAGACTTAGTTATACAAAAGTTCTTTGACTTCTGGGTTAGTGAGAATGGAATCCAATTGTCAATAGTTAGCGATAGAGATAGTCGTTTCACCAGCCAGAATTGGCAAGAACTCATGAGAGTCTACGGATCTAAGTTGTTAATGTCGTCCGGCCGCCACCCAGAGACTAACGGTCAGACTGAACAGATGAACCAGATCCTACAGCAAGTTCTGCGCATGTACATTAGACCTGATCAGATCAACTGGGATGAGATGTTGCCCAAGGTAGCTAGCGCATACAACAACAACATGCATCTGTCCACCTGTCGCACTCCCAATGAGTTGCACAGGTCCTTTAGGCCGCGCAGACCATTCGAAGTACTGAACCGGGATCAGATACACAGGCTACCGCCCGGTACCAAGGAGTTTGTGATACAGCACGAGAAAAGATTAGCAACTGTTGTTGAGAATCTCCGGAAGGCCCAACATAGGATGATAGAACAGGCTAATAAGCATCGTCGCCCATCACAGTTTCAAGTAGGCGACTTAGTCTAGGTCAAGGCAAAAAAGTTTGCACCTGAAGAAAACATCTCGCTGAAGTTACTGCCTGCATATAGAGGACCGTGGCCGGTTCTAGAAGTCAAGGGCGGAGAGGATGGACCGTCCTACACTATAGAGATCCCAGCACACCTCCACACATATCCCGTGTTCCATGCTTCAAAGTTGTTGTCGTGTGTCACAAGTCAACAATTCCCTTCAAGAAGATCCATGATCCCCCCGGTTATGGATGGAAGTTATGACATTGACGGCATTGTAGATGAGGACGTGTTCAGAACAAGAGGTAGAGGTCGTCCCCAGAAACAGTATAAGGTCCAGTTTGCTTATCAGGAACCGGAAGACGATCGCTGGTTTACAAGAACAGAGCTTCGAGAGACAGCTCCCGGCATAGTCAGAGCCTACGAGCGAGACAAGAAAGGTAAAGGTCCTGCCTTGGACTGAAATATTATCAGAGGACCTCGAATTTAGGACGACGGGAGTGAAACGGTTTTCACCCATGTACAGTAGACCCCAAGAGTTGAACCTGTGACCTGTGTATCCGTAGACAGTTGGTAGGTCTGTCGTAGGTCCGTAGGTAGCAGGGGTTTGGTCTGTAGATCTTTAGAATAGAAGTCTTAGCAAGTTCCAAAAGTCTAGTTGTAGTCCTTCTAGAAGGTCGGCAAGTGGGCAAGTGGTCAAGTGGCGAGGCAAGTGGTGGACTAAACTGCAGCGCAATTGCAGTACGACGACGGTAGGATAGCAGTAAGTCCACAATCAGTCAGCGGTAAGGTCCAGTCAGTCCCAGTCCGGTCCAGCAAGTACCACGGGGGACTGTGAGCACCATGGGCCGATGGCAAAGGGCAGACCAACGAGTTTCCGAAGTATAAATCAAGAGGCAGCGCCCAGCCTTTCATTCATTCCTGCGTGAGCCATGCGGAAGCGCTGCCACAACGACTTGTGCAAGGAGGTCTGCAGTGAGCCCGAAGGACGCAGTGGGCAAGAGAGAAGGAGCTTAGTATAGCGATAGGGTAGAGGCAGCCATAGCTGCCATAGTTGTAGTTAGTGTGAAGTGTGAGCGTGTATGTGCGAGTGTTCAAAGTTACGCGTGTGGGATATCCAGGGTGATCTAGTGTGTGTGAACAGTGAGTTGTTTGGGCGCTGAGTCGACATAGCCAATTGAGAGTGAACTCGTATCTAGAAGCCATATCTATGAGTTTTGAGTGGGCGCATGTCGCCAGTTTGCTGCGCTGCTGTTTACATGCATGAAACGTGTGAATAAGAACGAGTTTGATTGCATTGTCCCAGCCAGGGTGCAAAAATGACGCCAAAAGTGATTTTGGGACCTACGACACTTTTTTCCCCGTTTAGGGGGAAATGGATACAAAGGTTTCCTCTCTCTCTCTCTGCCAGCCCCAAACGATTGCTAGCTTTTTTTTTTTTTTTTTTTKAACCTTTTTAGAACCTCGCGGTTCTGGCTCCTGCCATTCTGGGGAGCAACAGTCCGGTTCCTATTCCACCAGCAAGTCAATATGAAATGCATTAGAAACTCACACACGCTCCTCCCCATTATGGCTGGGAGGCCCGAGTGGGCGGCATTGATTACTTCCTTGTAGAAGGATGTATCCCCCCTCACCCCTGCCTAAGTTAGCCTGCATTGCTAATTCTGGTTGACCCTTGCTGGGCCGCAGTCCTGCTCCTCTCAGCTATATTGTTGTCAGATCGGTGTGCTATGCTAGAGCAGACTGGGGCATTTGGTGCTATGAGCCAGATCCTCCCTGCATGTGCTACGCTGCTCCTCCTGCGGGTTGGGGCACTTGCCGTTATGAACTTGCTCCTCCCTGCCCGTGCGACTCAGCACCTTGATTTCCCATTGCCCTTCTACATGTCTTACCACTGCATCCCCACTAGGCAGTTGGAAGGGGGGGGGAAAGGGTCGGGGAATTCTCCGGGGGGTCTGAGGGGGATCTTTGCGTCTATCTTGGCCCAATCATAAAATGTCAAGCTATAGTCTCTTTGTATCACTGCTCCCTGTTGACCCTCTCCTGTCTCCTTTGACTCTCCTTTCCATTCCACCTTCCCGATTCCTCCTCCGTTTGGTCCGCCCAACCAGCTTGTGCTGAATTGTTGTATTTTTTGTTTGATGTCTTTATGTGTCTGCAGTGATCAAATGTGAGTTTTAAACACTTCCCATTCACATCCATAGTGGTCCCGGGCATTGCAGAAATATATGTTCGATTGTTTTAGGGTGTTTTCGAGCCAGGAAGGCATTTGTGCACAGTTTGCACCAGGGGAGAGCCAACCCTCTTTGTTCCAGCGTAGTTCTATCTACTAACCAGTTATTGGTTGGCAGGCAGCGATGCTCTATCTGCCATTGGAGTGACGCTATTTTAGCAGGTTTTGCCTTAGCCAACTGAAACCATTTTAATGGTCTGATCTCCTCTTGGCTGATATTTAGGTGGGTTCTCCATCGCTCTTTCACTTGGTCGAAGAGGTTGATTTTTGGTCTAAGAAGTCTGTATGTTGATTTCACTGTTAATCCGTAAAGTGTTTTAGTGCCATTCCTTCCTTTTCTGCTTTGAGTTGTCCATGACCATTCCGACGGATCCAAGGGTAGTTGCTGGATCGGGGTGGATGGTGTGAAGGCTATCCATTGTTGATCTCCTTGGAGCACCCTAACACGAATGAGTTCAGCCCTTGGGTGGACTGACGTCTTTTCGTCGGTGTTTCTGTAGAGGACTTTCCTTTCCCTATGTGAAGACGGTTCACAATTACAGCTCCATCTTGCTGTATGGAGACTACCCTGTCCACCTCTCCCTTCCTTCCCGGGCATACCACCCAGTCATCAGGGCCTTTGCGTAAGATTCTCGGCCAGTTTATGGGGATCATTTCCACTACCTTTTCCAGGGCTTCCTGAGGGTGGTGGCAATATCGCAGCTTTTCCCGTAGATGATCCGCATCAATCCACTCCCTCTTTTCTGTGTCCCATATGTCATGTACCCTTGTGACCCCATTCTTCACCCAGCCCTGCCACGGCAAGACCATGCAGTGGAGGGTTTGGCCATTCGTTTCTGCTATCCATCTATTGCCGAAGAGGGGTTGTCGCACCACTTCTTCCCATCTTTCTAGCGGTGTTTTGTCCGGGAGGGGAAGACTTCTCCAAGTGTTGAGGAGGCTAGGCCAGAAGGGGTCCTTTGTCAAGTCGTCCTTGACCATTTGTCTGGTTGTAGCCGGATGAGGGTCCCATTGTCGTGACGCTCTGGAGATGGACCAACCTCTGTTTTCCAGCCACATTAGAGGGTCTTTGTCTTCCTTTGTTCGAGGGGCTAATCTGGAAATTTGTTCCAGGGCCAACCCTTGCCAGGGGGATCCGGTGTTGAAAATAAGTCGTTTGATCCACTGTATTGCTAGTGCTTTTGTCTGCGTAAGTGGATCAATGATTCCCAGGCCTCCCTTCGTTTTGGGATGGGTTATGGAGTGTCATGCCACGCGGTTGATTACATTTTGTTTGTCATGGGCCCCCCTCCACAAAAAGGCAGCTGACGTTGCAGGGGGTGTAAGGCCTTTCGTTGCAGGGGGTGTAAGGCCTTTTTGTCCAGAGCCCAGATTGCTGATATGTACCACATCGAGGCCAGAACCACATTGTTGATTATGAGGGAGCGTCCCCATAGCGAAGTGTGCTTATCTTTCAAGAGCGCCATTTCCGCCAGGGGGGGGGGGGCGTAATCCATTCCTGGTTGGTAGACGGTCTACCTTCAGTAGTCATTGGGATACCTAACACTCTTATAGGCGCCTCCTTAGGGAGCCACCTAAGTCTCGGATGTTCCGGGGGTCTCACACCTTGATGGTGAATTCACCAACCTTGGGTTTTGTTTCCCCAGTTCACTTTCATATCTCACAATTGGCAAAAGCGGTCCATCATCCTTTGTATTCCCTCCATGAATTCATTAGTTGCGTCTACCATTAAAGTCAGGTTGTCGGCAAACATTGAGCAAACCGGGATTGTTTCATTGGGTATTGCAGACACTTGAATCCTCTTTATGTCTTTGTGAGTCCTTAGGTTGGTTGCCAGTGCTTCCATGATTATTACGAAAAGGTAGGGGGCAATAGGGTCCCCCTGTCTAACTGATCTCTGCAGTTCAATGGGTGGAGTCAGGTTGTTGTTTACCATGACTCTGGTTGCTGCATTCACGTGCAATATTTGTACCCAGCGTCGGAAGTCTGGCCCAAAGTTAACCTTTTCTAGACATTTGTCGAGAAAGTACTAGTCTACGTGGTCATAGGCTTTTTCAAAGTCTATGAAGATAATCGTTGCATTGTTTTTGGACTGTCTTGTTAGTTTGATCATCTCGTTGACCAGGAGAATGTTGTCCTAGATATTTCTGCCTTGAATGAAGCCCGTTTGGTCCGGGTGGATGATGTCTGTCATCATTGGTTGAAGGTGCTTAGTCAGGGTTGTGGCCATCAGCTTATAGACCACCATAAGCAGCGTGATTGGTCTGTAGTTTCTGATGTTGGTCCTATCTCCTTCTTTGTAAAGGAGTGTCAACACACCTTGTCCCACAAATTCTCCCATTCGGCCCGTTTCCCAGACTTCGTGATAGAAGTCCATAAGGTCCTGTGAGATAATCGGCCACATAGTCTTCCAGAATTCTTTAGGTAATCCGTCTACGCCTGGGGTTTTATCCTCTTCCATTTGCCTCAGTGCCTCAAAAATTTCTTCTTTTGATAAGGGGCTATCAAGCGCATCTCTTTGCTGGGTCGTGAGGGTTTTTTTCAATGGGGCTAAGAAGTCCTCAATTTCTTATTTTCGTTGGTCCCTAGTCCGATTCCCATAGGTAGATGTGAACAATTCCTGGTAGAAGTCTCTAGCTATTGTTGTACATGCAGCCGTGGATGTGACCAGGGGATCTTGGTTAATTTTGGGGTCTTCTAATGCTTCGATTACCGATCTCCCTAAGTTCGCTCTAGCCATTGCGAAAAATCTGGCATCCATTGCGCCTTCCATGTTATGTTTAGAGAGTTTGCCTCGAATCCTGGCGCCCTGCCATTTGCGTTCCCTGTGGGCTAATAGTTTTGTTTCCAATGTTTGGATGGCACTA